TTAGATCCGTTTCTATAGCATGTATCCCTCCATTGGAAAACCTGAAATTGGAGAATTCGTTTGAAAGGGAATAGAGAAGATGCTAGGCTGTTGATGGCCAGGACGGATGATGTATAATTCAAGGTAGACTTTCTTTCCAGGGGAAATTCGCGGAGGAAAGCCAAGCGTATCGACCAAGCCAGTTTTCAATGGGCAGCTTCATTATCGTCTTAGCAACGATCATTGCTGCGTCAGCTATAACCAACGAAGCCGCAGTCGTTCCAAATAAAATAAAATATCCAACACCGCCGACATTCGAATTCCACTTTATTACTTCTACCCTTTACTTTCGATCAATTTTACAACTATTCGACGATATACAGAGATGAATAAATGACTCGGGATAATTGCAACGATTGAAGGAGTTCCTGTCACATCGAGTCTCCATGAGGAAACTCTAAAAGCGTCTCGAGAAACCCTAGAAGCAAGCCTAACAGCGATGTTACTCTCTCTTTATTTCCCTATAAAAGCATTTTACAAGGCAGATCTATTTTAAACGAATGTTGTGCAGGAATAACTATGATACTAGCGAGTGAAGTGCGTTTTCTGGAGCGGATCAATCGTGGATACGGAAGAAGCGTAGGTGTCGTGTGTCGGCGGCCACGTTTTCTCTATATATCGTTCCTCAAAGCATTCGGTACTACTGTACTTACGATTCCAGCCTCGTCAGCCACATCGGTATGTCGCACATTTTTTTCGAGTCATCCCGCGGAACGAGATTCTCCCTTTCCCCCTATTAGCGCCTTTTTCTTTTTTTCACTTGCAGTGACGATGGATTACACACTTGGAGGAACGTACACCGAGGGAAGGAAGAAGAAGAAGAAAGAAGTAGAGGAAGAAGACGAAGAAGAAGATGCAGGGTAAACTCTAGAATAGACGGATAGACGGTGTGCAAGAGTGAGTGGTGGAGAGAGGAAGATCGAGGTGGACAAGGAAACCGACGAGGAAGCTCGCGGAAACGAGAAGACGGACCGTGGCTTGAGCTAACGAGTCGTACAGTTTTCCCTTTGGTCTGGAAAACAGGAAACAGCGGGCGTGAGAGCCGCGAAGGCCCTGCCGAAAGCGAAGCCGACTCACCTCGTACTCTCCTGCGGGTCGAGCTATTTCCAGCATCGATCCGTTTCGTGGAGAAGAAACATGCGCGTACAACGACGCCCATCCTCGTTTCTCCTCCCGTATACCCCTCGCGCACACACCTCCCACCTACATTTACCCCGTCTCGCGTCCCCCTTCCTCTACGCCAACCACCCTTATTCTCTAGACTATCTTAGCAATGGCCTCAAAACGCGGACACTTCGGCTCCACGATCGATTCCAGTCTCCCTAACGTTTGCCTTTTGCTTCTTGGTTGATGATTCTTCAGCCGGAGGGATCGAAAGATCAATCATCGACGTTCTGTTCATTTTGGAACGATCCAAGTTCTTCTTCTGGCCGCTGTTGGTGATTTCAATTGCTTCGTTGTTTTTTTGGATTGGAAGTGTCTACTTTCTCTCGATAGTTCACCCGTTCAATTTCAACCCTTTTATCTTACCTCCTGGATGCTTGAAATTCTTCCTCGTTTCGTTGAATCTGTAAGGAATTTCTTTTCAATATTGTACTACACCGTCGAGAAGAAGCTTGCGCAGAAAATGATTTTAAATATTGATCTGATAATTTCTGTTCTTGAATGGAAGAGATTCGAAGCGTGTCGAGGCCACCACTAGCCACCCTTTAGTTGGCTCAGCGTCGTCGCGCTGCCCTTCTGCGATCACAGTTGTCCGTTTTATAAAAATAGGATATCTTTACTGATAAAAGATGTTCAAGCATCGACTTACAGTGTGTGCCTTAATTGGAGGCGGTGGTTTTTCACAGTGCTGGAAGTAGAGTGATGCAACTCTGGATCAGGATGGGGCTCGAGTGAGAAGGAACTTCGGTGAAGCGTGACATTTTCAGGGAGGTTCAAAATAGAAACGAGGTGTTCGTGGTGTGTACAGAGATGAACGTATCTCCTGTACGCTCTCCTTTATTGCCGGAGTCGAATCTTCGTAATTCTCTTAACGTTTCTTTGTCACTTCCTGTCACTATTTCTTTTATTCTGCGTTGAAAATTCAAAATGAATTAGAAACTTATTATGTAGGTATGCTCTTAATGAAAAATCTTTTCACCCTTTTTTGATACAACTGATTTTCCTCCTAATCAAATTTTTACTTTAAACATGCTCCTCTCCATTATTCTAAGAAACAACACCATCGTCAAAAAAGATCAAACGGTCCGTTCATTCTGAAGCAACGAGTACGAAAGAACACTCGATGTCATCGATAATCAATCGTGGTACAGGCTTTATGTGTGAAGTTGACAAAGCGACCTTAGAAATATTACAGTAACTTTTATTTAACGTAATATATAACAGAATATGGAGGAAATTGGGGGGGGGGGGGGGTACTCTCTGTTATTTCGCAAGATCAACGAATCTCGATTTTCTCTGAGCTTGGGATTGAAGTCTCGCGAAATGTATGTACTTACGTGCATGTGTGTATACATATTCATTTATTTCGTTAATCTTCGTTTTTCTTTTCGCCTATTTACACGAATACTTTTCATAAAACAACAATTTCATCGCGAACCGAGTTCAATCCCAAGGCCTCTTTTGCTCCAAATGAAACGCATCTTCCATTTTCTTTCTATCTTCTTCCATTTGAATATCTTCTCGAATAAATTTGACCATCTTCTCGTATCTTTTGCCTCTTCTTCGTGTTTACTGATCCATTTAAACCTTACAACGTATAGTTGACGCGTTTTCGAGCTAATCTTAGCATTTACCCAATTTCTTTCTTTACACCATTCTGTGTCTGTTCGTTATTGTTAATCGTACCACGCGTCATTCTAATTCTGGTGTTTTATAATATTTAAACGGGTACACGATTCGAAGATTCTTCCGGTTCCCCTTCCGTCAATCATCGTCGCCGCTTTTGCTCCGCTCGAAAACGATCTACACAGTGACTCGATTAATCTAACAACACATCACAGACGTTCTAAACGACGTTACGACTCTACGGTAGTATCGCTCTTTTAAACATACTCTTTCCACGAACGAAAAAAAAAAAAGAAGAAAATTGTTCCTCGGTAAGAAAACGAACAATCAGTCGAATAAAGGAAAAAATAAAACGCTTCGTACATTCGAGAACTCCTTCAGACATCTCCGTTCAGTCGCAGAAAAACACGGGCTCAGAGAAAGAAGAATAGCTTGTACAGAAACTAAACGCGCAAAAATAGCCAGCTCAACGAGAGTGTTAACAACCAAATTGGTCAACAGTTTCGACGTTCTCTCCTTTGATTGCTCGCGGATACACGTGTGCGTATATACAAAACGTAGTGTATACCACCTATACATAAAATACATCCCCTTCGTAGAGTTGTACGTTTATTTTACACAATAAAATCAATCGATCTCGTCGAGTACGAGAAGAAAAAGAAACGAAGGAAATGAAGTCGCCATCATACTCAGTATCAACAGCAGCATTAGCAGTGGTAATTAAGTGTACATAACACGCGCTTCGGATAATAGACATCATTCCAGGATCACGCACATGTACACTGAACGTATTGCTCGAGCCGAGTTCCAGTTAAAAAGAGAAAAATAAAATAAAAAAAAAAAAAAAAGAGGGAAACGTTGTCGTCCAGGATTTTTCTCTTTTTGATTAGCCACTTTTTCTTTTTTTTAATAAAATTACTGACCTTCGTTGGCATCATCTAAAACAGACGCATACGTATACATATAACGCCTGCGAAACGCTCGAAAAAAAAAAAAGTACGGGTGATGCGATGACAATGATAATAATAATATTAATAATAGCTTCTCTTTCTTTTTCTATACAAGTGCACAAATATTTACAGAATCAATATAACGACAGATATACCATAAGGTGCCGTGCGTTGTGCGTGTTTCCTAATTTCTTTCTTTTCCGTTCTTTCTCTTTTCGTCTGTGTCTTTACGCGTCTGGCTTACATTTTCTCGAAAATTCCTCGTGTCTTCATTCAGACACTGAATGCGTTATTTTGGCACATTTCAGTTTCTCGTGTCACTCTGCAAAACACGCGCCGTCCGATTTACTTGGCACAATGTACACTTCGATCATCACCATGCATGATTTTTCTAAACTTAATTTCGTTAAAAAATAGATTAAAAAGTG